CGCCACAACGCCCGGCTATTTTTTGGTTGCAGCCGTCATTGTTGTTTGGCGGGTCCGGGCTGGGGATTCGAACCCGCCACCTTAGTTGTACGTGGCTGGCGCCTTAGCCGGTTGAGCTATAGGCGCCGAGCCGCCACTTGCACTTCTGAGGGACATCTTCAAAATCCATCAATGGGTTATGACCATACCCCATCCTCTTCCAGTCCATACCCCATCACTGCTTTCTGGACAGTACAGTTGCTCTTCCCTGGTTTCCCAGCTCCTGCCCTTGAACCTCTACCTCTGTAGGGTGTTCTCACCATGGCAGTCAGGCAATTCATTGTATTTAAACTTAAACTGAGCCAGGTATGGTGGCTCACACCTGTAATCCTAGCACTCTGGGAGACCGATCCAGGAGGATCCCTTGAGTTCAGGAGTTCAAGATCAGCCTAAGCAAAAGCAAGAACCTGAAGATAATGAAAAGAGAAAAATTAGCTGGCTGTCTAGAGAGTGCCTCTAGCCCCAGCTACTCAGGAGGCTGAGGCAAGAGAATCACTAAGCCTAGGAGTTTGAGTTTGCGTTTGGTTGTGATGAGGCCACTGCACTCAACTCAGAGGACAAAGCAAGACTCGGTCTTCATAAAACAAAAATGTAAATTGTACCATGTTTTTCCCTGCTTCCTCAGTTTCCTATCTCATTTAGTTTAAAAGGTAAACTTGTCTATCCCCACCTCCCCACCCCACCCCCACAGCCCACAAGACTCTGTACAACTTCCTTGTCCCCTCCCTACCCTACCTCCGCCCTTTCTCCCCCCCCCACTCTGCTCTAGCCACATTGACCTCCTCGAGGCTCCTGCAGCATGCCAGGCACAGTTCTTTCTCAGGGCCTTTGCATGGGTTGTACCCTCTGCCTGGAACACTCTTCCTCAGTACCTTTCCTCCCACACTAGTTACCTTTTACCATTCAGATTGCTGTTCAAACATTACCACCTCAGAGAGGCCTTCTCTAACCACCCTCATCTCTCTCTCGCTCTCTTTTCTTTCTTTTTCTTATTCTTTTCTTTCTTTTTTTTGCAGTTTTTGGCTGGGGCTGAGTTTGAACCTGTTGCCTCCAGCATATGAGGCCGGTGCCCTACTCCTTTGAGCCACAGGCACTGCCCTCTCTCTCTCTCTCTCTCTTTTCTTCTTCTTCTTCTTCTTTTTTTTTTTTTTTTGAGACAGAATCTTGCTCTTATCACCCAGACTGGATTGCTTTATCACCCAGGCTGGAGTGAATAAGATTGATCAGGGCTCACTGCAGCCTGGAAATCTTGGGTGCAGGCAATCTTCCTGCCTCAGTCTCCCCAAGTGCTGGGATTATAGGTGCACCCAGCCAAAGGCAGGGATTTTTGTCTGTTTTGGTCACCATTGTGTCCACCAAACCCTGCCCTGGGCCTGGTACACACTAGATGGCATTTGTGTCACTGAGAGCTGGAATTCATCTAAAAATTCCATATGAGAGGCTGGGTGAGGTGGCTCACACCTGTAATCCCAGCACTTGGGAGGCCGAGGTGGGTGGATTGCCAGAGCTCACAGGTTCAAGACCAGCCTGAGCCAGAGCAAGACCCCGTCTCTAAAATATAGTGAGGTGTTCTTATGGATGCCCGTAGTCCCAGCTACTTGGGAGGCTAAGGCAAGTGGATCACTTGAACCCAAGAGTTTGATATTTAGCCAGGCATTGTGGCAGGTGCTTGTGGTCCCAGCTACTCGGGAGGCTGAGGCAAGGGAATCACCTAAGCCCAGAAGTTGGAGGTTGCTATGAGCTGTGTGACGCGGCCACAGCATTCTACCGAGGGCGATAATGTGAGTCTCTGTTTCTCCAAAACAAAACAAACAAAAAATAACTCACAAGAGTTTGATATTGCTGTGACCTGAGACGCCACAGCACTCTACCAAGGATGACCAACTGAGACTCTGTCTCAAAAAAAAAAAAAAAAAATTCCATATGAGCTTAATGAGTTATACCCACTTTACAGATGGGGGTCACAGAGCCTCAGCCCAAAGTGACCTCATAGAGGTCATACATACTGTGAGGCTTCAAACTTTCTACAGGCTCAGCAAGGAATGAGTCATACACACACACACACACTCTCATATGCACAAACTAAGAAAGTTTTCATCCGTCTCTTCTGTCCTACAGTCTTGCAAGGAGCCATAAGCCTGGGTGTGCAGCAAGAACCCAAGTTGCTGCGGGTACGGCAAGGCACTCAGGCGACCCTGGCTTGCCAGGTGACACAGGCCCAGGCCTGGGAACAACTCCGTGTTGGGTGGACAAAGGACGGCAACATCTTATGTGAGCCATACATCACCAATGACAGCCTAAGCATGGCGGCTTGTGGGCCCCGGGGCCAACTGTCCTGGAAGGCTCCTGGAGTTCTCACTCTGTGGCTGGACCTTGTGAACCCCAGTGACAGTGGGGACTATGTGTGCTGGGTGGTCATGGAGATTCCTGAGTTGGACCAGGCTGATGGCAATGGGACACAGCTTCTGGTAGATACAGGTATGACAGCAAATAAATAGGGAGATGGAATGGGGAAGAGTCTAGAATCTTACGACTTTTGAATCTCTAAGCCGGTCATTTTGGTGCATACCTATAGTCCTGGCTACTCTGGAGGCTGAGACAGGAGTATTGTGAAAGCCTGGGAATTTGAGGTTTCCGTGACCTATGATGATGCCATTGTACTCTAGCCTGAGCGACAGAGCAAGACACTGTCTCAAAAAAAGGGGGGTGGGCTGGCTTACACCTGTAATCCTAGCACTCTGGGAGGCCCAGGAGGGTGAACTGCCTGAGCTCAGGGGTTGGAGACCAGGCTGAGCAAAAGCAAGACCCTGTTTCTACTAAAAATAGAAAAACCAAGGCAAAAGGATCATTTGGGCCCAAGAGTTGGAGGCTTCTGTGAACTATGACACCATAGCACTCTACCCCAGGATAGCTTGAGACTCTGACTCAAAAAAAAAAAAAAAAAAACAACAACAAAGTCTCTTGAATCCAAAATTCCTAGAAACATAAAATTCTAAATTCTTTACATCAGACTCTTAGGACCAAGAATCCTTTAAAAAAAAATTCCTGCAGGCAGTGCCTGTGGCTCAGTGAGTAGGGTGCCGGCCCCACATGCTGAGGGTGGTGGGTTCAAACCTGGCTCCAGCCAAACTGAAACAAAAAAAAATAGCGGGGCGTTGTGGTGGGCACCTGTAGTCCAAGCTACTCGGGAGGCTGAGGCAATAGAATCAGCTAAGCCCAAGAGCTGGAGGTTGCTGTGAGCTGTGACGCCATGGCACTCTACCAAGGGCAATAATGTGAGACTCTGTCTCTAAAAAAAAAAAAAAATCCTGCAACCTTGAGAACATCAAAGTCTGGAATCACAGAACCTAGTCTAGAACTTCTCATTCTAGCCCAGAGTTTGGTAAATTTTCTGGAAAAGTCCTCACAGTAAATATTTTCTGCCTTACGGGCCACCTGGTCTCTGTTTCTATTACTCTACTCAGCCACTGTGGTGTGAAAACAGCCATAAACAATGCAAACGAATCATGCTGATTTTTCCAATAAAACAGTATTTAAAAACACAGGCAGTGGGCCAAATTTGGCCCATGGACTGTAGTTTTCTGACAGTTTTCTGATACTCTGTTTCAGAATATCACCATCAAAAATATGCTTTTTTTTTTTTGGGACAGACTTTCACTTTATTGTCCTCAGTAGAGGGCCGCACGGCGTCATAGCCCACAGCAACCTCCAACTCTTGGGCTCAAGTAATCCTCTTGCCACAGTCTCCCAAGTAGCCAGGACTACAGGCGTCTGCCACAACACCCAGTATTTTTTTGTTTGTTTGTTTGTTTTTGTTTAGCAGATCTGGGCCAGGTTCAAACCTACCAGCCCCAGAGCATGTGGCTAGAGCCCTAACCACTGAATAATAGGGTGCCCCTTTATGTTTTTTTTTTTTTTTT